CTTGGTTGTATCATTTTATTTTGTTGTATTTGTCCGCGACACCTGAAAGGCCGGTCCGTGCAAATATTGTCTGACATTAAACTGGTCTGTGGCGCAAAAAAGGTTGGGGACCGCTGATTTAAGACAGCTGGGATAGGCTCCAACCCCAATGTGGGCCTGAATTGAATAAGCGGAAGAGAATGGATATTTATGAAGCTAACTCATTGGTTAACATGTCTGAGAAGTCAAAAAACAGACAGCAGTATTTGGAATGAACATGCAAAAGCAGTGATGTTCCTTATCACCTGCCAGGAATATTGTCCTGGTAACTCAGAGAGACTTCTCTCTTCCAAAATAAAAACAGTTGGCTGGTAAAAGGCTGGATTTTAGGATGAAAAGATACTGTAGCAGCCAATCAAATAAGACTGCATGTATGCACAAAAAGCAGCATTTCCACCTGTTCTACATTTACAGCATTGAGGAAAACTCTGTGAAACAGCATTTAAGCTCTGGAAAGACAATAAAATTTCTGCAGTGAGACACGAGCGGATGAGTTGTTGAAGGTGTGTCAGCAGCTCTTTCAGCCATTTACAGACTGATGAGTAAAACCCTCAAGCAGCACACTCTATTGATTTCACCAGTCAGCCATCTAATGATAAAAAAAAGCGATCATAAAAACGTTCTTGCTGTAGTCAGGGGAAAACCTCTATCACTGCATTGGCCTGCCAGCACTGACTGGGTGATATTTGATTTTTAACAATTGTATATTTTTTAAAAACTCATCAGCTGAACGCCTTGCAATGATCATGTGACCACAGATATACTGGAAAAGCATATAGATGGCATTTGAAAGTGTGCGAGTATATTCAAAGGGGAACGGTGACCTTTTATAATATTAACTGTCTTCATGAAGCCGTAACAGCAGGCTGACAGTCAAAGTATCACCTGGGGCTGGTTTTCAGTGACTTTGTTTTAAAATGATATTCTCACTGATTTTATGTCTCCACTGACACGTTTTTCTTTCCTGCTACAAGAAGAGAAGTTTTTTTCTTTTAACAGCCCCTCCTGTTATGAGAAAGCGCTTCTACAACATGAAAAATGAGGAATGGAAGGCCATATCCAAACAGGACATGGCTTGTAAAAACACCTTGAATTTTGTTTTTGTGGTTGTGGAAGCATCACGGATAATATTTTTAAACTTCACTGTAACTATTTTTTTTCCTGGATTCAATGGAAAAGAAAATCCAAGTACTGTATAGAGTGGGTTCTTTAGAGCTCAGCAGGGATATTATTTGTGTGAAATAAAACCTTTGAATCAATGTCCCACAACACCAGATTAGCTGGAAATTTCCATCAATCCACTTCCACGTAGTGGAGCCTGTCCCTGCTCCATAGGGCAAGAGGTGGGATTATACAGAGAGACAGACCATTCACACCTACGTCCAACTTAGAACCACCAATTAACCCCACAAACTGCGTGTCTTTGGACTGTGGGAGAAAACCAGAGTACCCAGAGAGAACATTCAAACACCCTACAGAAAATGGAAATGTGGTATGTGGTTTCAGGAAAACTGAAGATTTTTAAATGCACAAAGCAAAAACAAACAATTTGCTTCTAGGAGGACTTTTGGTGTAAGTTCACTTATAATCAGCTCAGCAAAGCATAACCTCAAATCTTATTCAGAGTTCAGCGAACTGATGAAAACTAAGCCAAGTCTTACACGAGTCTCAGATGTCTGCACTAACAATCTAGTAAATGAACAACTGAAAAAACTTATGGGTTGCCAATACATCTGAGACTTTCACCTGGTCTTGTCCACCTTCCACCATCTCCACTGAGCCTAATATGATGTGTTCTCTGGCACCACCCACAGGAGAACATCTCCAGATTTTTCATTCACCCAAAAGTTTAGTTTGAAACAGGCATTTGATTAAAATAACTTTTTTATTTAATTTAGTGCAAAATGCTTCAGGCTCACGTGCTGATGGAGCTGAAAAATGATCCCCCAAAAAATCCGCAGAGCATCATGGGTAAGGGGTGAGATGGACAGAAGAGTCCGGAACAAGATCAGCCTCATCTGTTCTCTGCATCACTTTCCAAACAATTACTTAACAGATTTTTCAGCACTAAAGGGAACGGGAGTTACTTAATTTATCACCTTCTCGTTTTAAGCCTGAAACCTGATGACTGCAGCCTCCTGTGGGCTCTTTAAAATTAAAGTGCTGACTAAGACTTAATGCCACACACACAAAAAACACATTGAATCATCTTGACCTTTTCCCACTCTCCTCTTTCATCCCAGCCAAGTTGTTAGCTGGACTGTGGTATCTGCCCAGTATGGCTGCCTGAAGGCAGATACCACGGGAGCACCTGAAGAAAAACTAAAGCCATCGTGGGACTTTATTAAAACCCACTTTTAATAGATTATTCCAAAGTTAACAGCTCTGATTTAATTTTCAGAGAACTGTGTGACAGGCTATGAAACCTGTTACTGTTTAATTTTTATTAAAGCCGAATGAAAGAAATAATACATTTAAAGTCTTTTGTTTTTTTTAAGAGCTCATCCTACCAACACATTCCAATGTCCTTAAAAATGACAGGAGCTGCTTAGCAGTACTCAACTTCCAGCTGGAAATACAACCCCAACTCCAAAAAACTAGGATGCTTTTTAAAATATAAAACAAAACAGAATGCTGTGATTTGCATATCTTGTACTGACTGGGTAGGCAGAGAGCTCAGGCCGGAAAGGATGAGCAGCAGGTTAGAGCGATTGAAGATAGAGAGGGAAATGTACTAATGAGTGAAGCGTGTGTCCTGAGAAAATGTTAGGAGTGTTTTGAGGAGCTGATGAATGAAGTAAATGAGATAGAGACAAAGGTGGATGGAGGAAAGTTAACGAATAAGGAAGTGAAGAGGAACAATAAGGAGGAATCGATGGCAGCTATGAAGAGTAGAGGTTGGGCAATAAAGTTAGAGAGGCAAAACTGAGATGGTTTGGACATGTGCAGAGGAGGGATAGTGGATATGCATGAGCAAACAAAGAAGACTTCAGCGACGTTTCATAGATTTAGTGAAACAAAACATGCAGAGGGCTGGAAAAGTAAAACAAACTGCTAAAGGAACTTTTGTTAACTGGTCAGTACCATGATTGGATATAAAATTAGCATCTTAGGGAGGGAGAGTTTCTCAGAAGTGATGATGGGCAGAGGTTCACCTCAATCTGCAAAAAAACAATGTCTATAAACTGTAGAACGGAATTGAAAGAGATGCTGTCGGAAATCACAGCATTATTTTCTAGAAATCGTTGTCTGTGAGCAGAGTTCACCATGCCAGCCACAAATCCAGGTTGCAAAGAAGAAGCCATGATCCATTTTTTGGAATTGGGGTTGTATACCCATCATTACTCACTGAAGTTCTACATAAACACACTTCGGCTGCTGTCATCATTTAAATGTAAGTTTACATTTGTAAATGTAAAACGTAAATTTGAATTTTGCTATTTTTTTGGCTCTCCTTGTGCCCTTGATGGAAGAGTGATTGGCGTGTTTTCAGGCTTTTATCCTGGGACAGAACATTTTGGCACTGGTGAAGTTGTCAGTGTTACCGATGACCACGCTCACTTCTATAGGGCACATAAACACCAAATCTGAAAGTGATGTGAGCCAGGTGCTGTGAATTTTGCAGTCACTAACCTCCGTTCAGTTGAATAGTTATGGGAGATTTCGGATTTATGTGACAGCACTCTCCTCCACTATAATTAAAATATCAAATATCAAATGAATATGGTTTTGGAAAAAAATATTCCAGCACTCCAGCAGAGCATCAGAGACTTGGACAATCAATGCCAAGGTGCACTGAAACAGTCGGTGATGGATTTTGTTCAACCCTGAGATCAATCCTGAGGTATGGAGGAGCTGACAGGCCAGAGAACAATGTACAACATCAACATCTTTTGCTACTCACATCATCCCAGACAGTTTCATTTGTGATTTCTTAAACAGAAGAAAAAAAAACGAAATAACACGAGAGAAACTACAACAAATTTTTTTTTTTTGACTAAGGGCAAGCGACAGAAACACCTTTCCGGAACCATCTTTTTGACCTCAATACCACCACACAGCCTGAACCTCCTCAGTTCACAAGTCATTCCGGCCAATTACCCGGCAGACGTTTTTGGGAAGATAAAGGAAAGCAATCAATCTAATAGAGACGAGAGCGCGTTTTCAGGCCGGTGCCAAGACAAGGCGCAGTTTACGAGAAAGATAGCTTTTTTCCCTCTCGTGCAGAAACAACACAAAAAAGCAGTCAACAGTGATGCAGAGTAATACCTAGCAATTCAAGGAAAGGGGGGCACGTTTTTATTATTTAACCAGGCAGATCGTTCATTCCGTCTAACTAAACCTAACGCAGATACAGCATTACATGACGGAGCATGCTATAAAAAATTCAAACCACTGTGTAGTCCTTTCAGTCTGTTCCCGTGTAATAATAATAATAATAATAATAATAATAATAATAATAATAATAATAATAACTTCAGTTTATGACAAAAAAACTTTATTTTAAAAAAACTGGCGACATAATGGCCTCGCATAAACTCAATAATTTAACATGAAAAGTTAAAGGCGATGCGTAAACTGTAACTGTTGAGGGACCTTAACGCAAACAAAATCCAATGTGATTGGAAAATATTCTCATTTCTGAAATCAGCTTCTTTTTTATCTCTTGCTTGGGTTTGACGGGCATCAGCTGATGAATAATATTGGGTTCACGTTGCCTCACACGGGGAGCAAACAAATAAATGCAGGTATAAAGTGACTTTATGTGATTATATCCTCCAAACCTCCCTCGTTGCACTGATATAAAACACACACACACACACACACACACACACACACACACACACACACACACACACACACACACACACACACACACACTGTTTTCCATCAAAGTCCTGGTCCAAGCGATCTGGTAAAACCAAACCCAAAGCAAGCTTCGCTCCTACGCGTGGACTCACCACTTGAACGCCGGACTATGTTCTCCAGAAAAGTGTTTTGCGGTGCCACAAGCCCTCTCTTTCCCCCGGGCATCCTGCTGCGGGCGGACGGAGCTGGTGTCTGTGGCGGTGTGTCTGCTGCTGGGATGTCGGTACTGACGCTGGCTCTCAGTCGGACCGATGGGGAAGCTCATTGTAACCGTGCGCTCTGGATGCTCGGTGCGCACTGAGCCACAGCAGCGGCGCTACATCCCGCTGCCTGCACGGAGCTCCAGGACGCATGCGTGTCGGCTGCCGAGTGCTCGCTCTTCAAAATAACGATGTACTGTAATGTTTGTGTAATAAATGCTGTTTACTGGCTAATATTTAGCAATAAGTGGAACCTTTATATATTTATCACACATTCGGTTTGCATCGTTAGTAACGCAGATGGCAATATCAGACTAGTTATGTTTTTCATTTGCATTTTGATGAGATTTTCTAAACAATTTACATAACTGCTCAATAGCGCATTAGAATTAAAATTATTTGGCACTAGAACTGCAGCTTATTTATTTCTTATTGTTCTGATTAGGGTTAATCTGCCAAGTGTTTTCCTCTGTTGACTAATTTATTGTTTGCTCTCCAACATCACAGAAAATGGTGGTAATCAGTCATAGTTTCATGCATTTTAAGATTGAAGAAGAATTTATGAAAACAGAAAATCAGCCCAGACTGAAAGAAAGCAGCAAATACTTCCAATGGAGAAGCTGGAACCAGAGGACCAAAAGGTAGCTGTAGATTATTAATAAATCAGCTATACTTGGTCAGTTTACAGACATCAAGTTTTAATGGCAATTTCTTTCAAAAGATCTATTCATAAAAGCGTGTTAAAACCATAATACAGTTCTTTTTAAGTTGATTTCATAGACACGTCCATCTACGGTTATAGGATACACAGCATCGACAATCTACAGATCAAGAATATAAGGTTAACAATTTAACTGTTTAGGCACCAGAAAGGAAAACTTAAATGTTGGTCTACTGGAGCAGAGGGCCCAACTAGAGGAAGGAGGAAGGTATAATGAGTTAAACCTGGCAGGTTTTCATCGACAAACTTGTAACACAGCAGGAATTAATGCCAGGAGAAATAAAGAGCCAAGTGAAACAAACAACCACAAAATTCCCCTTTTTAACTTTATTTCAATTCATGCTGAGCAAAAGTGATATAGTGTGTTAATCAGTGAGATTTAGAGCTGTCAACAGATGCATTTTTTAATCTCAGGACAGAGTCAGGCTGGCTGTTTCCTGCATCCACCCTTAATAAACTATCTGTGCTTCCTAATTCAAACATGGTACATGAGAGAAATCTAGCAGAATAATTCAAAATAGTGAGCAGATAAGTAACTGTGAGTTGCTTTAGTATGAAGCAGTAAAACTAGTGTCTCCCTCTGCGAGCTTCCCCCAGGAACGCTCATTAGCTTGCATAAAGGATTAATGGGGCACCTGGGAGCAGAAGGCCTCCACTGGAGCAAGAGACCACACTTCATGCTGACGTCACCACCAGTGATGGGAATAACGGCGTTACAATAACGGCGTCACTAACGGCATTACTTTTTTGAGTAACGAGTAATCTAACTAATTACTATTCCTATCGTTACAACGCCGTTACAGTTACTAACAAGAAAATGCGGTCCACTACTATTTTTCAACAAACAGACAGTTGGAGCTGCGTTCAGCTTACCGCATTTCATATCAGCTGCACGGAAGTAGCTGTAAGTAAACTGGACGCTACAGCTTTAAGCAGCTGCGCGCGCTCCCGCAGACGGCAATCACGATCACTGTCTAGCACAACACCTGGAGCTAAGGGAGCAAAACAATCACATGAGTGCTGCTGTTTGACTGAGGAAGAATAAAGTAGTCGTGGTAAGCCAATCATATGACCACTTAAAGAAAAAAACAAAAAAAACAGGGGAAGTTTTAGGAGTGACGAGAGAGAGAGAGAGAGAGAGAGACCGCAGAAAAAGAGAGAGAGAGCGAGTTTTAAGATGTGAGAGATTTGTGACGTTTATCGTGTTTGGAGTGTGTAGCTAATGTGTTGTCTTGTGTAGTTAGTGTGTAGTGTTGTGGATAGTTTTGTGTTGTGTGTCATAACAATGAGGCGGCTGCTGTCTCCAGGTAGAAACAGGAGTGATACACCTGCTGCTGTCACTCCTGTAGGTATCAGGCTGTGATGTTCTCCTTTATAGTGGACAGAAATTATTTTTTTGGAGTGGCACAAATAATTTGTGTGGCATCTTATTGAATAAAGAACAGCTGATTGTTCTGTAAATAGTTTGAAATGGTTATTAAAAAAATCAAGGTAAAAGGTAAATTGATGCAAATAACTTTGTTGTTTGCAAAACTTGTGCACAGGATTTTAAAATTGACCATTTATATTTGCATGTAAAGTTATGAAATATGATTCATTAAACATGTTTAGTGGTTGTTACAGTGAAAAATATAACTTTTTCTACTCTGATTTTATGTTTTTTGTCGGATTTTAGATCAATTGTGTTAATACAGTATGTCAAAATGAAAACATAACTGTAAATTCAGACATGTGAGGTTGTGCTGAAAAGGATGATACCAAACAAGGCAAAGTAAATAGTTTTTAAAGGTGAAATGTAGAGGAAACATCAAAAGTAGTTAAAATGGCCAATTACACGCTGGACCCCAGAGGGTTAAACTTTTTTTTAAAGTAACGCAATAGTTACTTTTCAAGTAATTAATTACTTTTAGAATATTGTAACTTAGTTACTAACTCAGTTTTTTAAGAAGTAACTAATTAATTACTTTTTCAAAGTAACTTGCCCAACACTGGTCACCACATTGTATCTACTGCACTGTACATAGCAGGTCTAAAAACTACACTAAAGCTGATCAGATTGTCTCAATCTTTGACTGTTTGCACTTTAAATACCTGGTGACCCTCTCTTCTACTGTAACCCCTAAGAAAATCAACCCTGAGTTTGAAAACTAAGTTACTAACCTTATTAAGAATTTGAATGTGTCTGTGGAGATGATCCAAAAACACAATTATAAATGTTCAAAAAGGACAAAAAACACCTACAGTAACCATCCCATTGAGCTTTAAGTGGCCATTAAAACCAACATTATGGAAACCATACGTTGACTAAGTCTTTGAGTTAACACTCAAATGCTGGACTCTATCCCAAAGTCTTACGTGCAAATCTCCCTTTTTGCACCTACTAACACTCTTTTCATCTGATGCTGTCAAGAAATCTGTCAGCATCACCTCGGATATTCCAGCATGTGTGTAAACACGCGAGGTGGCAAATGCTCTCATGGGATAACCTTAATTGGCCCAGTTGCATCATGGGGTATCAACCATATGTGACAGCACAGGTCGGACAGCTGCCGTCTGCTCTAACAGGCTGAGCTGTGCAGACAAGCCTCTCTCTCTCTTACACAAGGTGAATGTCTCTCACTCTACAGAGGTTCATTAACGACAAATCTGTTGCTGGAAAGGAACCAGTCAGTTGGTGTAGCTGACTTTATATTGAAGTGGACGGAAGAGAGTGTTTTCAGCATGTCAACTAACTGAAGAATACTAGTGAGCTCAATATGCACCTTGTTTATGCTTGTTTGTCTGAAAGTTGTTCTGGCACACGAAAAATTAGCAGTCAGATGAGGTCATGGCATGTTAGAATGCAAAGGTGTCTGTGTCAGGGTCCTGGGTCGGAGTGACCCAGGATCCCTGAGCAGTTATGAATTATATTATCATTGTATGTATATTTGGTGTTGCTGTCCTTCTCCCTGTTTGCGTGTGTGAATATGTGTTTCTGCGGGCGCCTTCAGGCCTGCTGGCGGACTGGCCACACCCGAAGCCACACACCTGCTGCCAGTGTTGGGAAGGTTACTTTTAAAATGTATTCCATTACAGAATACAGAATACATGCCCCAAAATGTATTCTGTAACGTATTCCGTTACGTTACTCAATGACAGTAACGTATTCTGAATACTTTGGATTACTTAATATATTATCATGCTTTTTACAACAACGTGAATGTACTATTGCTGTGTGATTTATTACTATTACTGAAGGTCCGCAACTCCGAGCTGTAGTAAAGGGACCTCTGACTAATACGGCGGGGTCCCTGTCGGCTCGTAGCCGAAAAATAGCTTTACTTTGTTGTGTGGGTCAACTTTTCTTGCGAGAGACAGAGAGAGGCGTTGAAAGACTGCTCCAACAGAACTTATTGTTTTCGGAGGAAAACACAAACACAAACACGGTGTACAGTCGAGTCCTAATAGCTTACTTACAACTGGGCTCGTCAGGCACTCTTCTTGGCTGAAGTGGTTATTATTATATTATTATATTATTATTATATTATATTTATTATATTTACATGCTTCCAGCTCCCGTTTTTCCTCGATGACAACTCGTACCTTTCCACTCCCCTTGTTGTTGAATTGTGCTATACAAATAAACTTGCCTTGCCTTGCCTTGCCTTGCCTTTTTCTCCCTCCTCGCGCTCACAGACCCATAACGTGTATGGCAGTCCATTCTCCCTGCAACACGGACTACACTGCCCATGATGCTACATTCTTTAGAGCTATGCTTGTAGCATTCTGCCTGTTAGCTTAGCACAACAACAACAACAACGAAAAGGCGCTCTCTCACCCAGGAAACACACAGTCGCAGAGAGAGAGAGAGCGTCGCCCTGTAACCATGGCAACCGTAACGCTGCCGCCCGGAACAAAAGAACGTAGCTGTCAAACAAAACCCAAACAGTCCTGACCCGCGACAATATGAAACAGGAAAGTACCGCAGTGTAATCCATTTATTTCAACAAAGTAACTGTATTCTGAATACCACCTTTTTAAACGGTAACTGTAACGGAATACAGTTACTCATATTTTGTATTTTAAATACGTAACGGCGGTACATGTATTCCGTTACTCCCCAACACTGCCTGCTGCTGATCAGGCCTCGTCGGGGGAGCTACTTAGGAGAGTCTTGGAGCTCCCACCGACGCGGGATCATTGCGTGAGACTCCACGTTAGTCATCCTGTTGAGCTCAGTTAGTGTGTGTATGCCCGCGGTTATATGTGTCCTGACGGCTGCTTCTATTGTGTCCCCAGGAGAGGTGTGGAGTGCCAGACAGCAGCCAGCACGGGGATTGCTGAGACACGGGAGCGGAGAGCACAAACACT